CCCATTCAGCAGAGGAGCTGGGCAGCACATCGCCCCACCCCCACCCCACCCTAGCAACTCTGCCTGTGGGGACCAGGCCACCGCCAGGCCTGCACCCATGCAGAACGCGTCATCGTGGGAACTCCCACCCCAGGGAACCTTGACCCAGGAGAGCCTCTAACCAAATTGTGTGGAGCCACTCCCGGGAGGGACAGGTCCCCTGACGGGTGCAGGTGCATGTCAGTGAACGCCTGAGACTGAGGAGCAGTCGGCTTTGAGATGGGTGACTCTGCAGGCTCAGGGTCTGGCAAGCAGGACAAAGCCTAGGGGGCATCACAGGGCCAGCCCCACACCCTTGCTGCCCAGGCCGGCTCCCCTTGCCCACTTGAGGGCAGAGGCCTATCTGGGGGCAGAAGTCTGCACATGCATGCATCCACTGGATCAGGGATGGGAACAGGTCCGTTGTAAGGGAGCCCAGTGTGAGGGTTGGGCTGCCACCAACAGGTTGCTGGTTCAAAGCCAGCAGCAGCTCCTTGGGAGGAAAACGAGGCTGTCTGATCCTGCCAAAGGGAACAGCCTCGGAGACCCACGGAGCAGTCTGCCCAGTCCTGGGGGGTCACTGTGAGTTGGAGTCCCCTCGAGGACCATGGTGTTGGGCATGGTATCCAGGTGTCTCCCCGGAAGACCCACTAGGAACGAGTGTCAGGAAGCCCCTGGCCCTCTGAGAAAACTAGGAGCCCAGGGGCCTTCTGGACACTAGGGGACACCCGGACACCACCTGACACAGTCCCCTGGCTGTCTTGGAGAGAGCCTTCCTGCTCTGTCCACAGCAGGCCCTGTCAGCACAGGCCCTCGGTGGCCACTTACTGCCCCTACAGAACCCAGGGGCACACAGGAAACATGCCCGCTGATGCCCCAGGGCCAGCAGCCCAGACCTACCCATGGGTCCCCAGGAAGCAGCCATCAGAGAGCGAGAGGGGCTGGGGGGGCGGGGTGTTCGGTGGCAGTCACTTCTCTCAAGTCCAGCTTTCTGCTTCACCCTCACACACACTTGCATCAGGTCCCAGTTCCTATAGCCTCACTGCTCACATCCAATCAGAGATGGACAAGCGGCCTGGAGGCCCCTCCCTGGGATGTTAATTACAATTACAGAGAAGCACGAACTGTGTTGTACTGACCAATTAGCACGGCTATGCTAATTAATAAAAGAAAGCCAAACAGCCTCTGTCTTGTCATCAGCAATTAGCTAAAGAGGTTTGAACTTTTTTCTCCTCCTCCTCCTGTTAACCCCCTTCTGTCCTCAGCAGTGCTGGGGCCGTACAGGCAGAGGCAGGCCCCACGCTCCACATCAGCCACACGCTTGCTTCAGCCATCCACTAGCAGGCACATGCCCCGGTAACCCCACTCTCACTGCAGACACAGAAGGACCCCATTATCTGTGGATCGACCCTGACACCCTGTCTCCCACTGGTGGAACCGCACGCTCTACCCTGTCTGTCGTCAGGAGGGTGGGGTTTCGGCAGGTACTCCTCCCCACACCCATCCACGGAAGGCCCTGACCTGAGGCCCCGCCCTCCAGGCAGCCAGGCTGCCGATCCCGAACTCACGGTGTCTGCTCTCTGCTTGTGGTCTCCCAGCTCCTCCAGGGCCTGCGACAGTTGAGCCTGCAGGGCAGACAGCACCAGACAGCACATCAGTCTCCACCCTGGTGGCCCGGATCCTCACAGGGGCCTCAGGGAGGGACAAGCACCGCAGAGTTCAGAGAGCAGAATGCTCAGTCTGGGGGGGCTGGGGTGCGCTGGCAGGGGGAGGTGGAGATAGAGGGTGGGTCAGTTAATAGGTCACTGATAGTAGGTAGATGGTATGTACGCAGAGAAAGGTAAGTCAATAGGTAGGTGACAGATATGACAGGTGATAGACAACAGGCACAGATAGATAGGTGATAGGTGAGCAGATGACAGATGGACAGACAGACTTCCAACAGCCACCCCAGGGGTCCATGGCACCTGACAAGCCCTTCAGTGCCTGGACCCCTGAGCCAGGCCCCTCATGAACTGAGGAATGTTACAGAGACAGGGTCCGAGCTGGCCCTTCTGCCCAGGGCTGGGTGTCGGGGTGTCTGTGGCTCCGGCAGCCCGAGGCTCCGGAGAGAGCCGTGTACAGACTCGGGGTCTCCAGTAGCACACAAGGCTGGCACGCCTGGCGGGGCCACTGACGGTGACCCACGTGACCCCATGCGCATCACAGCGGTGAGAGTGGGCCCACAACAGGCAGAGTTGTCGGCTCCTGTGGGGACCCTTGCCATTCGTCCTCCCCGGGCCTGCCTCTGGCCCCACAGCTTCAGGCCAGATGAAGACAGGGGTGTCTTCATGCCCAACGCCCCCTTCACAGCATCGCTGGCACACTTCCAGGCCACGAGGTCCCGGCTGCGCCCCCTCCGGGCAGATGCACAGCAGCCTCTGGTCCCCCAGCTCCTTCACCAGGACCCCGACTCCAGCTTCATGGCCTGGCAAACGCAGCCCTGGTGGCAGTGGGTGGAGCACAGGGCTGCGCACCACAAGGTCAGTGGTTCAAGCCCCCAGATGCTCTGTAGAAGAAAGCAGGCTGTTGCAGCCCCACCTGCCACACACACCTGTGCCCAGGTCACCCACCACCCGCCAAGCCTGCACCCTGGGGTGCTCCTCCTCTCACCAACTGGGAACCTGCTGCTCCCCTCTGAAGACAGCTTGGCCACCCAGGCCTGAGGTCACCAGACAGCTACCAGACAGACAGCTACCAGACAGCTACCAGACACTGAACTGCCAGCTCCGAAGGCCACGGCCCGATGGCAGATGGGTGCAGGCACCCAGCCCCCAGCTCCAGCTCTGAGTTGCTGCAGCAGTGCCACTGGGCACAGCACATCCTGCTGGGGACATTTGTCCTGGGCTCAGGTGGCCATGTGTGCTGGACTGGCCACGGCCAGACGGCTTAGATGACAGGTGGCTATTTTTATCTGGAGGTGAGAAGCCACTGCCTGGTGATGTAGCACCCTGCAGTGCATGCAGCTCTGGGGCACAGTGGGGAGCTGGTGGAGCACTGGGGACAGCTATGGGGGACAAGGCAAGTACCAGTCCCCACACACTACCCTGATAGGATGGGCCCACAGGCCACGGAGCAGCAGGGCAAACCACTGCTCAGGCCTGCTGGTCACCTCAGACATGACGCCATAGCCTCACGCCCAGCCCCAGCCCGATGACCATGGGCACCTCCTCACTGCCCCCCCCCAAAAAAAAAACTGGCATGCACCCACCCTGAACTGGACATGGCTGACGGACGGTGGTGTCCACCCAAGTATGGTACCACCGCTGTCCCGAGCAGCAGCTCGGGGGTGCAGGTCACAGGGTAGGTGGGGGCCTGGCTACCCAGGCCCTCTGGGGGTCCTGAAGCTCCCCATGGGGAGGAAGGAGGCCAGCCCGCTGGTCCCCTGTGCCAGCTCTGTGGCCCTGACAGCCCTTTCCGTCCAGCCTCTTTGACTACTTTGCCTGGCTGTCGCCCAGCACGCAAAGAACTTGCTCCCTGGGGCCCGGCCTGCCTCCCAGCCCCAGCCTGGTCAGGGGCACAGCGCCCTGCAGGAAGCCGAGCGGGCGGACACCTTCACCTTGTCTGTCTTGAGGGGCGGGGCTTAGCCTGCGGTGCCACCAGGGCGCCTTAGAACGACTGCCATGGGTGCCGGCCAGGTGCTCAGGGTGGAGACCCCGCCTCTGCCCTGCACACTGGCCGCCACACTCAGCCCAGGGAGGCCCAGACCCTCAGAACCTCGCACCAGCTGCTGGGTCTCTGCTCTGATTCACATGCCCCTGGACGACGGGGGCTGGACTGCCTGCTCCGCGCCATCCTATGCCCACTCGGCACAAGTCCACAGCTGTCTGTAGAGGGTCCGCGGGGCCACCTCTGGTTCACCAGACACCAGGCGGGCAGCAGCAGGCAGAGCGGGGCATCCCAGCCTGAGAGAGGAGGCGGCTTTCAGACCTAGATGCGGCCAAGGCCTCACCACTGTGGCTATACCGGAGCAGGGGCCAGGGCCGTGGCTGGGGGTGGGTGTCAGAATGCTTGGGGTCCCTAAGTGGGGGTGGGGACATGGGTGCCTGCTTCTCTGCACATGAAGGAGGCTGAGCAGCAGGGGACGCTCTCAGTGTGATGGCCTTCGAATCTGACCCCTGGGAATTCCGGCCCTGGTGTCCAGGGTTATGGTCACAGCCCCACAGGAGGGCCAGAGAGGCGCAGACAGGTGGAAGGACAGAGGGAGGGCGGGTCGGAGAGAAGCCTGGACGGGTGACGAGGGTAGAGACGGCAAACACACGAGGGCCAGCTCAGCTGAGGGAGGGAGCTCTTCCCCCTGGCCCCCAGGACCTTCCCCCGTGCATCTGGCCACCCCTGGCTCTGCCAGAGCAAACCAAGACAAACTGCCCACACTGCCCTCCCCGCATGAGATGACTGCTCACTTCCGGGGGGCCCAAGGAGCCCTTACTGAGTGAGCGTGGAGTAACGTGACTTGATGGTGTGTCAACACAGGATGCAGAGCTAATAAACACTGTTCCTGCGAGGGTTCTCAGCTTCTGAGACAGCATCACAGCGTAGGAACAGAGCCCACCTACCCAGCCCCCCGTACAGGCCAGGGAGCCCCTCAGTCATGCCCACCCAGGCGGGCAGGCAGGGCGGCACCTCCCAGATATCCCGCTGTGTATTACGTGGGACCCAGATCGACCTGTCACACGGGGGCTGAGGGGGTGGGGCAGCCAAGTCATGCTGCTCCAAGGGCCCCTGGCCCCCAAGCCACTGTGTGGTCCCACCTGGCCACCTGGGCTTTGGCAGGGCTCACAGTACTCTCTGTGGTCCTGGTCGCCCAGGCTGGGTCCA